AGCGAGGGTACTAGGTCTCCAGGAAAGTTGGAATTGTGATTGGCTGGTCGCCGAGGGCGCAACCAATGAGAACTCACTGTCGCGTGACGTGACGTCACCACTCGAGCCCTGGCGGGAGAGCTAGGCTGCGACACTTCTCACCAGGCGTTCGTCTGGGGACAAACCCCATCAACCAGGACAAACACACCATTTGTCTCTCCAGCAAGAAGCGGTCTAGCTCGTGGAGGTGGACGCCTGAGCTGGTATCAATCGAGGTCTAAGGCAGTGGAGACGTCGAGCAACTGGCCCAGGAAGAATTCGTTAGTTCCCACACCACGAGAAGTGAGACATGCGTCAACCTTAAAATCAGAAGGGCGGGCTGGAAAGGCCAACTGAGTGACCTATACGAGCCGCTTCTGGAACGACCTGAGACAAGCGGTGGTGATCGTGGTCGACGATTGGCATTTGTGAGGAAACCTGGTCGAGTGTAGTCTGGGAACTGCGCCCTGCAATGTGGAAGTCGTCGATAAACCAGTAAACCAGTACATTGTGGGCGGAGAACACCAGGGGACCCTTTATCGGCCCCGTCACTGTGATTCAACGAGGACGATTTGGAGATGATCAACCAGGATCAAGAGGATACCCCGCTGACCAGTCTGCCAACCACAACAGTCGACCGAGATAGAAGCATTGAGTCTGCACTCCATCTAAAGTAGATCAATGTGTTGTGTGTGTAATACACACAATATTAGTTATTGTGGGTATTTAGTTATTAGTGTGTGCCTCCCCCCTCCCCCTCCCCCACTCCCATCCTGCGCATGTGGGTGGTGAGGGGGGGGGAGAGGAACACCCACGCCCCTTGTGCTAGGCTATTCATTGTGTTACTTCAGTGATTACAGAGTTAACTTTCTTGATTATTCATAAGGGAGTATACCCACATGTATATGTCAGGCATACTCAAGAGTGCTGATATTTTAGTATAGTTGATTTGATACAGAAGGCCAAGGCCATATTAATACAGAGGACAACGTAATGATAAATTAAGTGCAGTAAGAATTTATTTGTAGCAAAATTTACTAACTAGTATGCAATGGTGTGATTCAGTTTACCATCCGTGTATTGAACGTGAGGATATTACACGTGGTGCTGGAAGAAATTATTAACTTGAGGTAAGGGAACTCTAGGCACTGATGCCTTTTCTTATTTCAAATTTCGAAGTGTTGCCATAATGTAACTGTCACGAGAATTTATTGTTGGCCACGTGCAGAGGTAAATATTAGTTCAGTAAACTAATGTTGCTTTTATGATTGTGTTTGATATTAAGTGGCGATCTTCACCTTGTAAACTGTCTACCTAGGCTTATGACCGAGTATGAGTACCACCATGTAAACTTGAGCTGGGCCCAAATACCACTATATTGTTAAAGTTTACCCGGCAGTGGCAGTGTGAAGTTGGCCGCCAGTGGAAGAGAGTTGCTCTGGTGAGGGTCTGGCTAGCTCAGGTCCGGGCGCCCTGTAAGGTTGGCAAGAGACTGGACCCCAGGAGACCCGGACCCCAGGAGACCACAGGCATTATCCCACTCCTCACGGGGTACTACAAGGGTGACGTGTGTGTGTATTCAACCTAGTTGTGCTTGCAGGGGTTGAGCTATGCTCTTTCGGCCCGCCTCTCAACTGTCAATCAATCAACTGTTACTACTGTTTTTTTTCACACAGTCACACACACCCCCAGGAAGCAGCCCGTAACAGCTGTCTAACTCCCAGGTACCTATTTATTGCTAGGTAGCAGGGGCATTAGGGTGAAAAATACTCTGCCCATTTTGTCTCTGCCGGCGCCGGAAATCGAATCAGGGCCACAAGCTTACGAGTCCCGCGCGCCTGGGTGTGAAGCCTGGCCCTCCCCCTAGGTGTAAAGCCTGGCCCTCTGCCTGGGTGTGAAGCCTGGCCCTCAGCCTGGGTGTGAAGCCTGGCCCTCAGCCTGGGTGTGAAGCCAAAAGAACGGGTGAAAATTGGATTTCCATATATATAGAGAGGAAGCCCACTAAATTAATCTGGTGATTATTTTCGGATTTCAATCAAAAACAAAATATATGAAATTCTGTATTTCCTGCCGGCTTCGGTCAGGCGTCCTCAGCCAGGCGTCCTCAGCCAGACGTCCTCAGCCAGACGTCCTGAGCCAGGCGTCCTCAGCCAGGCGTCCTCAGCCAGGTGTCCTCAGCCAGACGTCCTCAGCCAGGTGTCCTCAGCCAGACGTCCTCAGCCAGATGTCCTGAGCCAGACGTCCTGAGCCAGGCGTCCTCAGCCATGTGTCCTCAGCCAGACACCCTCAGCCAGGCGTCCTCAGCCATGTGTCCTCAGCCAGACGTCCTCAGCCAGATGTCCTCAGCCAGACGTACTCAGCCAGACGTGCTCAGCCAGGCGTCCTCAGCCAGACGTCCTCAGCCAGGCGTCGTCAGCCAGACGTCCTCAGCGAGACGTCCTCAGCCAGATGTCCTCAGCCAGACGTCCTCAGCCAGACGTCCTCAGCCAGACGTCCTCAGCCAGGCGTCCTCAGCCGGGCGTCCTCAGCCAGGCATCCTCAGCCAGGCGTCCTCAGCCAGACGTCCTCAGCCAGACGTTCTCAGCCAGGCGTCCTCAGCCAGGTGTCCTCAGCCAGGCGTCCTCAGCCAGACGTCCTGTGCCAGGCGTCCTCAGCCAGGCGTCCTCAGCCAGGTGTCCTCAGCCAGACGTCCTCAGCCAGGTGTCCTCAGCCAGACGTCCTCAGCCAGATGTCCTGAGCCAGACGTCCTCAGCCAGGCGTCCTCAGCCATGTGTCCTCAGTCAGACACCCTCAGCCAGGCGTCCTCAGCCAGGTGTACTCAGCCAGACGTCCTCAGCCAGATGTCCTCAGCCAGACGTACTCAGCCAGACGTGCTCAGCCAGGCGTCCTCAGCCAGGCGTCCTCAGCCAGGCGTCGTCAGCCAGACGTCCTCAGCCAGACGTCCTCAGCCAGATGTCCTCAGCCAGACGTCCTCAGCCAGACGTCCTCAGCCAGGCGTCCTCAGCCGGGCGTCCTCAGCCAGGCATCCTCAGCCAGGCGTCCTCAGCCAGACGTCCTCAGCCAGACGTTCTCAGCCAGGCGTCCTCAGCCGGGCGTCCTCAGCCAGGCATCCTCAGCCATGCGTCCTCAGCCAGACGTCCTCAGCCAGACGTCCTCAGCAAGCAAGTTTCCCCAAGATGTGCGCTTACGAAATGCCTCGTCTTCTGAACCTTCTCTTCAGACACACCAGTGAGCCCTCCGCAACACACCAGTGAGCCCTCCACAACACACCAGTGAGCCCTCCACAACACACCAGTGAGCCCTCCACAACACACCAGTGAGCCCTCCACAACACACCAGTGAGCCCTCCCCAACACACCAGTGAGCCCTCCCCAACACACCAGTGAGCCCTCCACAACACACCAGTGAGCCCTCCCCAACACACCAGTGAGCCCTCCCCAACACACCAGTGAGCCCTCCCCAACACACCAGTGAGCCCTCCACAACACACCAGTGAGCCCTCCCCAACACATCAGTGAGCCCTCCACAACACACCAGTGAGCCCTCCACAACACACCAGTGAGCCCTCCACAACACACCAGTGAGCCCTCCCCAACACATCAGTGAGCCCTCCACAACACACCAGTGAGCCCTCCACAACACACCAGTGAGCCCTCCACAACACACCAGTGAGCCCTCCACAACACACCAGTGAGCCCTCCCCAACACACCAGTGAGCCCTCCACAACACACCAGTGAGCCCTCCCCAACACATCAGTGAGCCCTCCACAACACACCAGTGAGCCCTCCACAACACACCAGTGAGCCCTCCCCAACACACCAGTGAGCCCTCCCCAACACATCAGTGAGCCCTCCACAACACACCAGTGAGCCCTCCACAACACACCAGTGAGCCCTCCACAACACACCAGTGGAGAGAGAGAGATATGAGGGCAAAACGTCCATATCTTTATATACAGAGCACGGAGTCCAGCCATACAGGTGGGTGGTCACAGCAATTTCCTCCTCACACATGCAACTATCCCCAGCAGGAAACACTGCTCTTATCCCCAGCAGGAAACACTGCTCTTATCCCCAGCAGGAAACACTGCTCTTATCCCCAGCAGGAAACACTGCTCTTATCCCCAGCAGGAAACACTGCTCTTATCCCCAGCAGGAAACACTGCTCTTATCCCCAGCAGGAAACACTGCTCTTATACTGCTCTAAACTCTGCAGCAAAACATGCTCTACTCTGTTATATACATTAATGACACTTTCACTTGCTGTACGTGATCTTTGTTCACAAATATTTTGATTCATAACTAGCCCCTAACTAGTAGTCTGCCGTAGTCTCGTATTTCACAACACAGGCCTACGTCAGCTCTCAGTTACTCTGCGTTTGCTACGATCAAAGTCCTTGTCAAGGGGGCTACAACACCGTCAAGGTCGTGGGGGCTACACTCACGTCACACCTGTGTATACCAAAGGGTCGGAACGAGGACCTGACATTCCACAGTTGCGCCGCGCTCAAAGAATCAACTGATTTTTTGACATTTTTAACTTTGTGGAGCGGGCGCTTGGGCCGCAGCGCCACTGTAACAATACCAGCCTTCAAACCGCTTCAGAGTTTTTTCCTGGGGTCTGCTTGCCTCCCTGTGATGTCAACAGCGTTTGAAAAGTTGGCAATATTTTCATGTTTACATCCAGAACATGTGTGTGTGTGTGTGTGTGTGTTATAAGTTCATGAAGATGTTCATTCGTTCAGATCGGTTTTCATGTTCACTCTAAAGTCACTCTAAGATCAAAGTATGTCAATGAAGAGAGTGAGGAAAATAATGTTCGAATCTGTCAGTTCGAAGTTGGCTTGAGGCATATGTTTGTTTATTATAACGTGTGTTTGTGTATTTGTGTATTATACAGTGCAATTGAGCTGTCTAATGTCAGATGTGAGTCAAGAGACAAGAAACATCAAATATTATTAACTGTAACTTAACCTGAGCACACCTGCGGCCAGGTTAAAGCAGGTAGCACAGACTTGACCAGTTTCATGTATCGAAAACTCAAGACACAAGCCGAGGTCTTATCCAGCGGTACAGTCAAACTCCAGCTCCAGCACCGCTAAGCACAAGTAAAAAGACAGTTCAAGAGGTATATTGAAAGACAGTTACAGATCTATATACAAAAAATATAAAACTATGAACCCCAGCCAGTTAAAGCAGCAATATATATATATATATATATATATATATATATATATATATATATATATATATATATATATATATATATATATATATGCATGCCAGTCCGGTCTGGACAAAAACCCAACCTCCAAGCAGAACACAAAGTGAATACATATGATTGATAATGGACCCCAGCACAAAGCCGTCACCTGAAAATATTCACCGCTGTTTGTAAAATTTAATAAAATCTCAAATCAGAATTTTTGATACGCAACATTCTGACATAAAGGAATTTTTTCGCAAAGTTTTATCATGCAGAGTTTGTAATGATAACACACACTTTTAGGTACAGTTTACGTAGGTCAACAGGGACCAGGGTAGTCGCTATGTTGTAAGTTTTTTTTACGAATTTACGAACATCAGCATGCAGTAAGCTGACATTTACGAAGCTTAGTATGCAGTAAGCTGACATTTACGAAGCTTAGTATGCAGTAAGCTGACATTTACGAAGCTTAGTATGCAGTAAGCTGACATTTACAAACATCAGCATGCAGTAAGCTGACATTTACAAACATCAGCATGCAGTAAGCTGACATTTACGAAGCTCAGCATGCAGTAAGCTGACATTTACAAACATCAGCATGCAGTAAGCTGACATTTACAAACATCAGCATGCAGTAAGCTGACATTTACAAACATCAGCATGCAGTAAGCTGACATTTACAAACATCAGCATGCAGTAAGCTGACATTTACGAAGCTTAGTATGCAGTAAGCTGACATTTACGAAGCTCAGTATGCAGTAAGCTGACATTTACGAAGCTCAGTATGCAGTAAGCTGACATTTACGAAGCTCAGCATGCAGTAAGCTGACATTTACGAAGCTCAGTATGCAGTAAGCTGACATTTACGAAGCTCAGCATGCAGTAAGCTGACATTTACGAAGCTCAGCATGCAGTAAGCTGACATTTACGAAGCTCAGTATGCAGTAAGCTGATATTTACGAAGCTCAGTATGCAGTAAGCTGACATTTACGAAGCTCAGTATGCAGAAAGCTGACATTTACGAAGCTCAGCATGCAGTAAGCTGACATTTACGAAGCTCAGCATGCAGTAAGCTGACATTTACGAAGCTCAGCATGCAGTAAGCTGACATTTACGAAGCTCAGTATGCAGTAAGCTGACATTTACGAAGCTCAGCATGCAGTAAGCTGACATTTACGAAGCTCAGTATGCAGTAAGCTGACATTTACAAACATCAACATCCAGTTAGCTTACATTTACAAACATCAACATGCAGTTAACTGACATTTACGGAGCTCAATAAGCAGTAAGGTGACATTTACAAAGCTCAATACATGGAGTGTAAACTTGCAACCCTGCAGCTGGAAAGCAAAGGGAGGAGCGGTCACAAGCCCGGGGCTAAGAGTATATATGTATGTCTTCTGTATAAGACATAACAAGTATATAATAATAATACATAATAATCTTCTGTATAAGACTTCAGAGCACCGTATGTCTTCTTATAACTCTTCCATAGCGACCTGTTAGATGGATATATTTTGTTCAACTTTTGACACCGGGAGACCTCAGGTCAGTGAGACTATCTCCAATGGATGGAGAAATATGAGGCGGGATGGAGACCCACATCACAGTCTCCAGCTTCCCCTGCCACACCACCCTCGCTACTTCAAGTCCTCTCACACACTCCACCACTCTCCTCTCACACACTCCACCACTCTCCTCTCACTCTCTCCACCACTCTCCCCCACTTCACTGCACTTTTCCCCACATCTCCACTTCCCTGTACCATCTTTTGCATCTCCACCACTCCCTACGCCTCTACTCTTTCCCCCCTACCTCTCTTTACTCCATACCTGTTAATTCCTTTCCACCTCTTCCCTCTTGATCATGCCTCCTCTTCCTTGTCAACTTCTTTCTTCATCTCCCTACTCTCTCCTCCCTACCTCATTCCCCCCGTCATTGTCTCCTCTTCTTTCCATATTTATTCATTCCCTCCCTACCTCTCTACTCTTCCCTACCTCTCTACTTCTACACTGAGGCTCCTGCTTCCTCCCCTCTTCACCTCCTCTGCCTCATCTCGCATCATTACTGTTTTACCCTCTCCCCACCCCTCTCTACCTCTCTTCCCTCCCTTTTATATGGCCATCCCCGTCTAGTATTTCCCCCTCATCTCTATCTCTAACATCCATCTTTATTTCTCAGTCCACTCACAATCTCTCCCCTTATCTATCTCTCAATTTCTCAATGCCTCTAAACTCCTCACTGCCCATCATATCCTCTGGGCTTCTCAGCCCTTCTTTGTCCTTGAGCCATATCTGTGGCTCTCAGCCCTTCTTTGTCCTTGTGCCATATCTGTGGCTCTCAGCCCTTCTTTGTCCTTGAGCCATATCTGTGGCTATCAGCCCTTCTTTGTCCTTGAGCCATATCTGTGGCTCTCAGCCCTTCTTTGTCCTAGAGCCATATCTGTGGCTCTCAGCCGTCATTGAGCCATACCTCTGGCTCTCAGCAATGTTTTGAATCTCACTCCTTGTCTGCCTCAATTTCCTTCTCTTCTTGGCAGCCTCTCTTTTATTTTAGGCTTTTATCTGCATCTTTCTCTCTGTATCTCATCCCTTCTCCTCCTACCATGCACCTCTCTATCTTTCAAACTCTGTCTACCTCATAACTCTAACTTTCGTCACTACTTTTCTCCACCTCTCAACAACTAAATAAACTATCTACCCCTTCTACTCAAGACTACCCCTTCCTCTCATCATCTCCTTATCTCACATCCATTCCTCCCACATTATGGCATCCAACTCCCACTCCACGCTCATATCCTTAGATATAAATAGACATAAGTATTCTAACGATTTAGGGAAGAAAATATCCAAAATCACTCCTGAAATCTAGTATACATATGCTGATGGAGCCACGCATAAAGCAGATGAAATAAAGGAAAGTAATGGTATAAATAAATCTGATATGATTGCAGCAGTGAATATCAAAATCACTGACGCATTAGTTCTATAGAATACCAGATAACAAGGGAATAAAGAACACAAAGACACGAAGGAAGTTCAGCACTTC